TTTTAATCATTCGTTCAATCTAAAACATAAAAAAGAAAATTTACTAAATGCTAGTGCAAAGTAAATCTTTGGGACAATAAATGTATATACACAATGAATACACCAAATATCCATTGCAAAGTGCTGCTGAGGTACCACTGAGCAAGGCACTGAACTGTATCTGTTACAGTGGCTCAGCTGTGAACAAAACTTCAGTTGCAGCCTCTTCAGGTGCTGCACACCCTCGTTCTTCTGCTGTGAACAAGTTAGAGTGTTTTCATAGCCAAGTTTCCCTCCTATCACACACACACACACACACACACACACACTTTTCTTTCCCTTTCAACTTTTCATGCACTCACCCGCTATGATAGATCCATATCTTAAATCTTACCAACCCCTCTGATAACAATCTCCACACACACTGAGTGGTCTGACTTGTTTCTGACACACAAAACAACCTGCACTCAGGCCGAGTGGGGGGGAGAAGGGAGGAAGGAGGAAAAAAGAAACTGATATTTAAAGCGAGAGAAAAGAAAGAGCCGATGCAGGTGCCGACCTCCAGAGCTGTACACATATGTCGTTCTCGGCCACAGATTCTTATCTCCTTATCAGAGAGCGGCTGGTGGACTGTAGTCCGCCCATCAAACACCGACCTAAGGGCCCAAATTGCATCAATCAGGGTCTGGAGTGGAGCGGCGCTTTGAGTGCCTTGAATTGGCACAATGACGAATCTACTTCCATTCGTTACCTTAGATTTAAACTTTGGATGGGGAAACTGTGAGAAACGGAGCAGACTCTCTGTGCTATGTTGATGTGTAAAATCATACTTCTGTGACCTGCAGGGATAATCGCATGCAGGACATTATATATTAGAGTTACAGGTAACAAACAGCGGTGAGTGAGAAAAACAAAGAATGCAGAGTTCAATACAGGGTAATAACAATGGCTCTGTATTATTCAAGTGAAAATGTGATTGTGAGTGACACAGAATGCACAAAACCAGGAGCCATCATTCATGACATTATTTATCCATGTGAAACTGTCCTATCAGTCCTGCAGGGCTCGTCTGGACTGTTAGATTCATGTTGTGATTCCTGGCTGCTGAAAAGACCTGGGCAACATTCTTTGACCCTTAATCAGTCACTGGTTCTACCACACTACACAGCAGTAGTATTTATAACTGTAATTTTGCACATCCATTTTATTTCTGATCATGCTGGGTTGGAGTGATGCCGATCTTGTACAGCTTAAGGTTTTAACATAACAACCAGGATTTCTATAAAACCGTCTGCTGTCTGTGGATGATTGAGTGAGTGGCTTTTGATCGTGCTGAGATCAATTGAAAAGATAATTGTTGTTAAGGGGACAATCAGAAAGTCATTTCTATAGCAAAGTATATAATAATATATAATAATATCAAATCTTTTTCATCACTGTCCAATAAAAACCAAATGTCTCCAAATTTAATGATGTAGAAATATGAAGGAAAAACACGAGGATTAAGTTTCTCTGAGTTGGGGAAAAATTCTCACTCTCGCACTAAAGCAAAATAAAACATTTGAAACTCCAGCTGAAAAATCCACAGTCGCACTGTAGCTGAAAACAGGCCTGTTCTTCTCAGCTCGTGAGAAGCAAGCGTTTCTACACAGCAGAGAAGGCGTCAGCCCCCAAATCATCTACTGAGCTGAAATACACATAGTCAAGAGAAGGAACTCTTTTATTTTGTATTTATTTATTTTTTTGTAGCTCTACTTGAGAAATGAAATATTTTCCTTGTGTGGGTTGACCTGATTCTGATTTGACCTGCCGCTCTGTGTCCGTCTGTATTTCGGAGTGTCAGTGCACCCTGCCAGCAGCAGATTTGTAACAGGAAACAATCACTTCAGGAGTAAAATGACCATCAAGAGGTGAAGTTTGTTTCTCCATCCAGGACTTCAGCTGAAACAACTCACAAATCAGCTCATAAAAATGACCCAGCACGTCTCCACAGCAGATTCTGTGTTTTGCATGTTTTTATATATTCCATGGCCGACTGTCACGTTCATGTGTTTGTGCTGTGTTATGACTTTGTTGCTGCTTCCCTGCAAACTGACTGAAGGATCTTGTGTCTTGTGTTTACGCTGTGCTCGTATCGTAAGCTGTCACTGCTGATTTCAGTGTAAATGTCATATTCACCTTCATATTTCAGCGCTCAAATAAACCAGAAGGTTTTTCCGTCAGTGTTAGTTTATTGTTTCTTCGAGGCTTTTGGGAGCGATGACCCTGGATGTCGTCAGAACTAAAAGGTGAACTCGCTCCTCTCTGCGTCGGCGCATTGCACTTTGCCGGTGTGGTCACATGATCACTTGTGACAGGGGTCAGTGGGGGTCAAGTGGGGTCATGAGTAGTATCCTGACATCCTGCCAGTCTAATCACCTGTTTATTTATTTAACAAGCAAACTCTGATCCAGACCTAGCGACGGACTGAGAGTGAGAGGAGGTGAGAAAGTGAAAGTTGGGAGGAAAAGGTTGATGAAGGTTCAGCTTGACCATGATTGATGTGTGTCCCATATTTAGCTGCGTTTCATGACAATCTGCTCAACACGCCTTCATTTCTATTTCGTTTACGTGTCTCCTTTTTGTTGCGCGATCCATCAATACAACCTGATGCTATTCCCAGTTTCTCAGGAGCTGAAAAAATACACATTTGCATTTGATTTAATGGCCAGCAGTAAAAAATATATACTCAAATGAATTTTTAAAAAAAGATTAAAATAATAGATTTCTTTTTATTTGAATTTGTACTCAGACCAATTCAAAAAGCCATTTTCCTCTCACCATGAGAGAGTGAATCTAGACTTTCAGGTGGAGGAAGTTTCACACAGGCTGTATTGTAGAACAGCTCATTGCTGCCCTCCTTTGGAAACTACTGGCACCAGTTTGACTGCACACTTCACTTGTGTTGACCAGTCCTCACCACACAGTGGGGATAGATCACAGCTGAAAGATCTCTGATGTGGTCGGAACTGAATACGCACCACAGCTATAGAAATGTTATTAACGGGTGGAGATGAAAAATACATGAATATTAATTTATGGAAAGTACATTCTGACTCTGGATTTCCAATATACTAGGCTAATAAATGATTTTAATTGTATTGTATTATATTTATTATATATAAAAATAGGAGAGCAGCAGTCTAAAAGCTAAAATATCTCTATGGCCCTGGTTTTTCACTCTGTTACAGACTGATGTGATATTATCATATCCTCGTCATGATGTAATATGATCAATGCAGACAACTGTCTTTGTTTAATGTAACTTCTTATTTGATGTGCTCCAAAAAAGCAGCGGTGTTGTCAATGAATGGAAGTAAATATTGATGTTGTACAAAGTTGACCAACACACACATGCACAAAGAGAGAGTTCAAACAAGTAAATATTTGATCAGTTTAAGGTTTTCAGCTTCAAGTGTGCACTTCAAGCACATTTTGTGACGGCATGTGAACCATCACCAGTCGTTCATTCAGTGGTGATATTCTGGTCATGGTGGCCTGAGTCTCTGCAGTCAGAGGGGCTTGGTTTTTCTGTCTCACAGTGACTTGTTGAATATTTTATCTCCGGCAGGTAGTTGGAGCGTCAGGTTACAGGGAGATGACTAACAGAGAACTGCAGGCAGCGCTCCACTCGCCCACATACACACAGTGAAGAGATGATGATCATAATGAGCTATCTACTACAGATACCTGAGAGGGCCGGGTGTGTTGTACTGTGACCAGAGATGCTGATGCATGTTCAGTTCACACACAGACTGTCAGAGAGGAGCATATTTTGGTAGCTTTTCCAATTTTATCTCCTTCTATATAGTGAAAGTATTGAGGCCAACTTTTTTTGTATTAATAGCTTGTACTAGATATGGACTTTGATCCGCACTGCAGATCAGTGAATTATTCTCTGAGAAATCAACCAAAATAACTCCCTGTCTTACGACAGACCCAGATCCTCACCAAAAATTTAAAGGGTTCCCCCTTGGGTCATGCCCCACCCCTTCACAAAATTCCATGGAAATCGGTTTAGACGTTTTTGCGTAACAAACAGAAACATAAACGTACTCTCCCTGATGGAGGTGATGAAAAGAGTCAGTCATGGAAAACCCACAGATGATTATCAACAGACTGGAAAAGACTCAGAGGGTTGAAATGTTTTTTCTGCTCATTGTTGTAGAGTTACAGACCGAAACTTGCACAAACTTGCTAGTGCGGAAAGTGGATTATTTAGCAACAATCAATATTCTGTTGCTTCTTCAAATTCTTATTTTTGTTCTTATGTAGCATGTCGTGTTGCCTCCGAGGTTTAAAGTTTAAGACAGTTGCTTCGTTTGATGGTTTTACTTAAAGGTACAGTATGTAGAATTTTTTGATATCTAGTGTTTAAATTGTATGTTGCAGCTGAACACCCCTCAGCTCACCCTCTCCTCCCAAACATGACAAAGAACCTGTGGTAGACTTTAATTGTCATAAAAACTCAAAGGGTGTTTAGTTTGTCCAGTCTGGACAAATGTAAAAAACATGGCGGCCTCCATAGAGAGGGTCCCCTCAATGTAAATATAAAGTATTTGAATATAAAGGGCCTTTTCTGGGGTAAAGAAAACTACAATTCATACAATTTAGATGAAACAAACTAGAGAAAACATCATGAGGATTATTCTACATTAAATACCTGCCAATAGTTCCCTTTCACCTTAATCTTACACACTGGACCTTTAAACTGTGAAGAGTTTGAGGCTGTTTTCAGAGCTGACAACAAACAAATGAACGTGAATGCACAGTCAGATGTATGTGATAGTTTAGAGGCCAATCAATCGTGGACACTTGACACTAACACATGCACATAACAGTTAAAGATTATTCTGCATCAAGCTGTTGAACATATTCACAGTTGAAATACTAAATAAATGTGGATTTCACGTCATCGTACAATCTAATTACAACAATCATCTGCCCGTCTCTTTCTCAGGGTGGAGTGCACACCTCCTGACCAGACTTAGCTCCTCCTCCTTTCTGCACACCTTCTTATAAGCTCACCTGCAGCACCAGCACCTGCATTCCTCTGGATCCCATCCTGACTCCCTCTGAACGTCCAGGTAAGATGGATGCTTTTTTAAATTTATATTTCACTTCTTAAAAATAGTTGATCCATTTTCAATAATTCAGCCTTTTTATGAAGTTAAATTGAAGTTTGTTGGGATTATGAAACAATGAAGCACTGTTCTAAATACAAATTATAACTAATTCAAATTAATTCCTCATAGTTTTCTTGTCCACTTTCGTTCAAAGTTATCAGATGCACTGAATGTACACTAGCTTGTCAACTATCAGTGAGATGATTTAAATAAAAAAAAGAGGCTGAAATTAAAGTTCATTTCCTGCAGAACAAAGTGCCTCCTTGTGAAACTGGAATTCTCTCTGAATATTTCCCCCGATCATTTTCCAAAAGCTCTATCTTTCATCTGAACAACGACCGTCTTTCTCCTGCTGGCTCCTTTGTAGTGTTGTGGGAACGGTGTTGCAGGGATCAGGTGACAGACAGAATGAGAGGTTCCCTTGACCGCTAATCTGCCACTGAAACCCTGCTGAGAAACA